ACATGGATGTGAAACTTGTTTTTCTAGACACATGAGTGTGGGAGGGTCTCAACAAGGTCATTTCTTTTACATATATATATATATATATATATGAATTATATATATATATGAATCCTGTCAACCCATGAAATCAGGCCCAATTTAATTGTCACATCAGGCCCAATTTAATTGTCACATTGCCATTTCGTACTTAAATTTTTATTTTTTTTATATAAATTCAAATTACTTAAAATTTTGAACTTTTATTCTTTAAAAATAAGAGAATATAATAAAATTTTAAAAAAATAATACCCCTTGAGTGATTTTTAACGTTTTCAATTTTACCCCTTTCTTCCGCACCCCTTAACTTTGGCTTATAGAAATGCGATGATTTCATGGAACGGTTTAATCATAGTATTCTTTCATCTGTGGCGCCATGATTAGTAAACAATTTTCTAATTTTTGAAATCCCATGAAGACCCATAAATACCCCACAAATGGCCCACTAATTTATTTATCGGAGCCCATTTTACTGGGCTCTCGGTTTGTGTATGCGCGGGAGTAGGGTTTATTCGGCCTTCCTCCACCTTACTTCCTCTGCAAATTTTCTGATCAGATCACGAGCAGTTAGTTATCCTTCTGATTGTGGAGTATCAAATATCTGAATTTTCACAGTTACTTCACATTCTTCTTCTACAATGCTAAATCTAAGAATACTTTCTTGGAGAGAAATCTCTGAAGAAAAACTCCTTTTATGGAGGATTTACGCTCTTGTATCACTGCAACGAACCATATATTTGAAATGTGGCAATGGACGGTTCGGATTTGTGATGGATCATGTTGGTTCCTGTGAAACGTCATTGACTTCGTTAAAGCGACTGGATATTTAATTGATTTCTAATGATCCAAAGGAAAAATATTTATTAATTAGTGAAGAGAAACTATTTTCATGGGCTTTTTTTCAACCCAACAAAGCTTCTATTTCCAAATTTTCAGATGCGAAAGACTGGGTACCCAACAAAGTTTCGACTGGGTATTTTGGCATTTGCTTGGGCACCTGATTGCAAATGGAAAATTTTGGAATGGATTATTTTCTATTAAGGAAATTAAAAAATGATTATATTAATAACTAAATGGAGAATGGACTTGGACGTTGATCTATTCCTAACCCTGAACTACCAAAAAATATTCACTTTTTTTTTTCTGGGAAGTTTAGTATAATTAGCGTCGGATCTGCTCTTTTAATTGTTATCAAGTCCCATCGAGACCGTCGGTTTAGTTTAATATCGGAAATAATCTGTTACTTTAATATCGGAAAAAGCGTTTACTTGACTTTTGTGGTGGTCTTCTCCGTCGATGAATTTTCTTCCCTTTTTGGACTCTTCATTGTTAATTTATTTACGGTTTTTTAAGGTTGGTGTTCGATTCCCTTTTAAATTAATCTTGAAGCAAACTTTATTTGGGGGAGAATGAAATGATATATAAAAACACTTACTTTGGTTCATATTTGTCCCTCTATGAATATGCTTGAATCTTTTGCAAGGGCTGTTCTGGTTCTGGGTGTCTAGTGTGGTAATGCTCAGTGTGTGAAGAAGTAACATTATTAGTATTTATTGTATGTTTTTAGTTAGTTTTCTAATTGCCTGTACTTCATGATCCTGTTTTGATTTTTTATGTGAATTCTGTGAGTTCCAAAATTTCCACAGACGTATTTTACTTGATTTAACATTTCGCAATGGTTAATCCGTAATATTCTGAGTGGAGATTGCGATTTATGAAAATTTTTATGGCTATAAGGAGTGGAGTTTCTTAATTAAAAATGTTCTGAGGGTTTATGCATGTTCGTGTTCATCTGGGGCTTTGTTATTTAAGCATTTTTGAGAGCCTTAATTGTAGTTTTTTGTGTTGGTCTTGAAATTAAATTTTAAATGTTGGCAATATGCGCTTTTACGATCTTGCACTGGCAGTTTCCTTATCAAAGCATCGGAGTCATTCAGAGTTGTAAACCATTTGCGGATTAGTTTTTCTTATTCTTTTTTAATATGTAATCATTGTAGATTAGTTGTTTAATATATGATATTTTAAACTTTATTTTTTTATTTATTATATTTTTGTGGGGATCTTTTAGAGTAATGTATAAGCGATCTTTAAGGGTTATGAAATTTCAATGTCATATATGTATCGAGGTCTTTTAATTTTTATTTACAGATTGTAATTTTATGTTTTAGTTTTTACAAGCCAACTTTCCTTTTTATGTTTTTTAAGTATTTTTTTACCGTTCTTGTATACTCTGGGTGTATTTTTTGAAGGAAAAACTGTTTCAGATCCTCTAAGCCATTTTTCCCTTTTTTTCTTTTATGTTTGGGTAGCAACGTTGCTTGTTATAAACCTGATCAATGGAGATTTCAAGCATAACATGTTTCCTTCATAGCAGGGAACTTCTGTTTATTGGTATTTGTCCCTTTTTTCTTTTTAACTTTTTATCTAGTTCTTGATCTCATTGATTACGTCATGCTTTTATTGTGGTATTGGTTCATGGAATATTCAGGTACTCACCAGTTCATTTAATCACCGATTAGTTTGTATAGGCATCTGAAAGGTGTTCTTCTCTTACAATTTATTGAGCTGGAATTATTACTGAACTTCCCATATTGTACTCTTGCCATCCTTCTACTGGCAGTTCACAAGAGCTAAACTTAGTAGTACTAGTTGTTGGCTCCTATCCTTCTGAGATTTGATACCCCAGGTTTGACTTCTCAAATGGCACATTCTTTTTTCTTTTCTTTTTGTTTTTATTTAATTAACTTGAGACCTGATGAGAATGGAATCCTAGATGTCACTTTGTGTCACCCTCCACCTGAACAGCTCTTCCTAGAGCCCGTACCCTCCTCGTTCATATGCCTTTCCAATTCTCTCTCTCATAAACTCTCCATTTAATCATTGAGGTAAACATTAGAGTTAGTGGTACTCTAGTAGGATAGCTGAAGAACTGCTGAAGTGACTTGGCATCCTTGCATTTTCTTGAATATATATAAGCAAGCACTTTTGTGTGTAATGGACCACTATATCTCTGAAATCCTCTATCAACTTCTGAAAATCAAGTTTATTTCCCACATTTGCATATCTCCCCATTTTGTATCAAATCAACTGCTATGACCGTGGCTGGTTGCCTGTTTCTTGCCTGTGTCAGACAGTCTGAGGGCTTCCATGTCATAGTTCTTAGGCAGTATCTCTTAGGGAGAAATGTTTGGGTATCTTACCCTCTTGTATTCATCCTCTAGTTATGGTAACGTGGAGTTGGAGACCGACATTTTAATTGAATATCATGCTTATGTCAATCGTCTATGATTTTCTCGAAATGACCACTATTTAGGCTCCCCTGGTTTTCTATAAGTGACCCATATAAAAGATTGCTATATATTTATCAAGTTTCTATCTTTGTGGTTTTGTTATTGGAGATATGCATCATGGCGAGTGATATGAGATAAAAGGAGTCTTCAGATTAGTTTGGTTGATGAAGTCATCATTCTGATTTCCCTTAATGTGTATGAGTGAGGCCACTTTGGTTTGATTATTGTCACATGTTTTGTACTCGAGTTAACCACTGAAATAATACTAATTGTATTTCTGTGTCCAACATCTGTAGGAGTTTGAATGAATCCCAAAGGGAGTCTTGCCTGAGATACAGAGTTGTCATCTAGGACGCTGTGGTTGGTGGGTTTGCTTTCTTTTATTTTTAATAAACGCTAGGAAAAACTGCTCTTTAGGGAAACCTAAAGCAATTCATTTGACTAACAGACTCCTTCATATCATAGAGTGGTGCTAGGGGCCCTTGTGGCTGTACCTGTTAAAGTGGACATGTACACATAATTGTATCATTTCTTCTTCCTTGGGTTTTTAGTGGAAACGATGGAAATCAAAGTGGAAATGGTCACAACACTGCTTTTTATATGGCTACCAGAAAGTTGCACATCATTTAAAACATGGCTACACTTGCTTCTTGTGACCGCATTTAGAATTTGTTCCTATCATAGCTATCTTGATAGTTGGGAAATTCTCCCAAAAAACCAAACAAGAAAGAAAATAATCTGGGCATTTTTAATTGATGTATGGAGTCTGTGTATTAATATAGGGGTGCAGTTGTATACGGATGCATCCGTAGCTGTAGAGGTAAGGTGCACCTTCTAATTTTATCATGGTATATAATTTTGATGTAAAATGTTCTTAGGATTATCTCAAAATCTATTTTTTTATCTAATTATAAAATTTTAAATTTAAAAAATGGTTAAAATCAAGTAGATCTATAAACATATGAAAATCTTGAAAGTGGACGGTGTAGATAATATGTTGTAAAATGCATTATTTCTGAGACTTCAAATCTTTTTATTTTTCATGGTCATACATCTCGATGTCGAGATGATCAATCAAAGGGTTTTTCAACATTAAAACTACCTTTTGCGATGGATTTTTGAGGTGCATCCATGTAGTTCTACATTATAAGGTTGCATCCTTATATAAACTTTTTCCTTAATATAGATGGCTTATTTTTTCAGTTTTATCTTCAAATGTTATGCATTGCAGAGTTGTAATGGCCAGTGAGCAGGAGCAGTTTGGCCTATGTGGACCTAAACATCTGACAGCATACATTGACTGGTCAGGGGCTCGTCTTATTACCATTCTGTATTTCCTGTTATCAGTGCTTCTTTTTACTCTTTTTTCATCTGGTTTACAATATATTAGAAGAAAATGCTGACTGAATTCAGATATTAGAAGAAAATACTGACACTGAATAAAATATGTTAAAACTTTTGAGGTTTTTTATCTGGTTACATGATATTAGAAAACAGTTGCTAACACTTTCAACAATACGTGCATTTAAATGCCCTTCTAATGCCGTTATAAATTTTGGTGGGCGAATCTAGTGACCTCCTTTGAATGATTTCCTATTGGGGCCCTTTCTCTGTTTTATTTGACTAAAGTGGAACCAAACCAAAGACCAAAGTGCATGTTGCTCCTTGACCTCCGAGCCCAGAGACTGAACCCAAAATTGAGACTCTATTTGAGAGTTGGTTCCCTGCAAGTATTCATGCAACCACAAAATTACTAATCTTCCTTTGATTGGGTTCCTTAATCCAGATTCCAAGGGAAAATGAACTTTAAAGATTTAAATGTGAGTGAGTTGGGCTACTTAAAGATATGCTGGGGATCATCTGTACAAATCAAGGTTTTAAGAACCATTTATGGATTGAGAGTCGTGCAATTATGATAACCATTATATCGTATGTTCGGCAGTTGTTTTCAAATATTGCACATTGTTTGGCTATGTTTTCTTAAACCGTCAATGCCTGTTGTAATTTATTTATTTCATTTTGAAATATATGTGTGTTCGGCAGTTGTTTTCAAATATTGCACATTGTTTGGCTATGTTTTCTTAAACTGTCAATGTCTGTTGTAATTTATTTATTTTATTTTGAAATATATGTGCCTTCTCTCTTGCTTGTTTCTATTTAAGGCCATGATTGCCCCACTTTTGCAAGTTTAGAATCTGTGTGCTTGTAAAGTACCCTTCTTATGCCCAGTTCAGAACACATATTTGTTGAGTAGGCGTGAAAAGCAATCAAGTTTATTTGTAAACATGCAATATCTATTCAGGAGCAACCCTGACCACCGTCGATCTGTCGCTGCTAGCCTAGTCAAAGGTGTATACATTCTTCAAAGAGACCGCCAGCAAAATCGATCAGGCCACGAAGCCCTTGCTCCCCAATGGTGGACCTCCCTTGGCTTCGATCTCCTCCGTTTCCTAATAGATGATGCCGATTCCTCAATCTTTGGTGCCATTTATGTTAGAAAATACAAAGAGAATAATGCTCCAAACATCGTCGTAGCCTTTCGTGGAACAATACCTCAAGGTGAATCTTTCCAGCGTGACTTCAAACTCAACCTTGAGATCTTAAAAAATGAACTTCACCGTACATCTCGATTTGAACATTCGATCCAAGTCGTTCGATCCTTGGTGTGCCATGATCAGAGCCTTTGGCTTGCTGGTCACTCTCTTGGTTCTGCACTGGCCATGCTTGTGGGGAGAACCATGGTTGAATCCGGTTTGTTCCTCGAGACTTATTTATTCAATCCACCATTTTCCTCAATCCCCATTGATAGGATAAAAAATAGGAGGGTTAGAGAGGGGCTCATGATAGCGAGCAGCTTTGTTACAGCTGGGCTAGCTGTTGTTCTGAAGAAGAAATCTGGTGGGGCTAAGCATGCATTTCTAGCCCTTGAAAAGTGGTTCCCCAACTTATTTGTTAACCCTAACGACCCTATATGCTCAGCTTACATTGGTTATTTTGAGCACCGAAGAAAAATGGAGGAGATTGGGGCCTCAAAGATAGAGAGGCTAGCAACACAGAATTCGATTGGGGATCTTGTGTCGGGTGCGTTTGGGAGAGAATCTAAGCCATCACATTTGGTCCCTAGTGCGAATCTGACTGTTAATTTGGACCATTCCAAGGATTTCAAGTCGGCCCATGGGATACAACAGTGGTGGCAGCCGGACCTCAGGTTTGAGTGTACATGTCACAAACATAAGTGATATATGGTTTGGCTTGGCCATAAATTTAATGAAGCCAAAGGCAGCTTAGAAAACAGCTGATATTCCCTTAGTTTGTGATTCTTATTCTGTTTGCTTTATCATTAGTTTTCGACAGATCACCTGAGGTTTCTTTTTAAATAGGGCACCCTTGTGCTTGCTTCTTGTTCTTCCCCCTTGTTTTTATAGGTTTGCGAACTCTCCATAAGCCCCAGAGTATCCATAGAGGCCCTGCAAATATTATTAATTCAGCTGTATTACTCTTTGAGGATGTGGGCTTAAGAGCAAGGACTATTTCCAGGTCTATGAACAACGAGTGAAGCTGGACTGTATAATGTTTGCATCCAGTCGGTATTGCACCCGGTTTCTATGCAGCCAGCCCGCATATTGTAGAAATGTGGGGTTGGCAATAAAAATATTTTTTAAATATAATTTATCCTAATTTTTAGGGAACATATAATCTTTAACATGAAGATCAAGAATATGAAAAATAAATAAAAGATTGAAAATTAGAAAGAATAATTTTATTAAGAAAACATTTGGACCATTAGTTACTTGTTTTTAGATGGACCACCTATTTGCAATGTTTTATACCGCTGGACTGTATATTGTAGAAACACAGTCCAGCCCGTATGAAACAATTTTCCTTCAGTATTTCTGAAGCGAGTCGATACAGTGACCATTATTCATCCTGTGAATAATTTCAAGAAAATAAGAAAATATATTACTTTTTGGAGTTCTTAAAACCCTGGCACTAGATCCGGTTTTTCATGAAATTGATGGTCAAGAGTTGGTGTGGAAGGGAAGATTAATTTGTAGCATTTTTGAGCTCCAATGTTTTAATCACATTTTCCATGGTCATCTGATGCCCGGTAATGCATTAGAAGACTTCCTTGGATGGGAAAGTCCGGAAGATGTCACACAATTACTCTCTACTCCCAGCGGTTGGATGTTAAATTAGATCGGTTTTGGTGTTACTAAGTTTGAGAGTTTTTTTTTTTTTTTACTCACTTTGGGGCTAGTTAATGATATTCTTACTATTGCCCAATTTGAAATATGATAGAGAATGAGTAATTGTGACTTCTTTGTACAGAAAGTAAATGTTCTTTTTATATACTTTTCACATATGAAATATGATAAAAAAGAGTAATTGTGATTTTCTTGTAACGAAAATAAATGTTCTTTTTTATATACTTTCCACAAGTTATATATATGGAGATAAAACATAAAATTACATGCAAAATTAGCATGTGATAAATGTGAATAAGCAAAAAAAAAAAAAAGTGGAAAGTCTTGTGTCTACATCATGCGGATTGACGGGCATCCTTCCATCGGTTTGAATTGAATTAGGCCACATCTAATAGTCAAAAAGTAAATTTAGTTTTTATAAAAACTATACGAGTAATTTATCTAAAATTTAGGCTTTATATTCATTTTTATATAACATACCAAATAAAAATAGTAAAATAGTATTTTGAACAAAAAATAATCCACAATACCCTAAAAATATTTATGGGTGTTTGACTAAAGTTTCTATTTAAAATATTTTTATTTAGTGCATCATATAAAAGTAAATTTTACTTCTCAAATTTCAAATAAATATAGTTTTAAATGAAATAAAAATAAGAAGCAAATTTATTATTTAGCCATTTGGTGAGACTAGGTTCAATTGAACAATCAAAGGGCGCTTGTGTGCGCCTCAAGTGTATACATAATGTAGATGCCATGGCACCTCAAACAAAAATACTAATGAAGAAATAGTAAAATAAAATAGAAAGCATATTTTTTTAAGGGTGCGGTTTGTATAGAGCCTGGGCCCTAAACAATCAAATTAAAGCCTACTTTCAAATAGTGTCGAGAAATGTGGTTTCAACACTGAAAATCTTTGTGATTGCCTTAATATATATTTTCATCTTTGGTGTAGATTGATAGATTTATAAAAACTTGAAAATTGATGCTTAAAAAATGTATTATAAAATACATTATTTCCAAAACTTGAAATCATTTTTTTTCTCATGTCCATGCATCATGATATGGAGATGATAAATTTGAAGATATTTGGGCATCAAAACAATCTCGTTTAAGGTTCTATATAAATTTTTTCCTTTTTTTTTTAAAAAAAAGAAAAAGTATATGATGCGTCAGAGCTTGCACTTGTGCTTGTGCAGGCTTAAACACATATATCGAGAACGAGGAACCGTCACCAGCAGCCACGGTGCCCCTTTCTCACCTAAACGCTTGCTCCGCCTGTTTCTCTCCGATTCCTCCACCCACCATAAAACTCACCGACTCCAGTCTATCTTTCTCTATCCACCTCTCTCTCAAATCCAACTGTTCTCGCTCTCTCTCTCCTCTAAGAAAAAAGAATGTGAAGAATGATGCTATAGGAAGCAGTATAAGGTCATGGTTATTCAACGCTAACCAGCATTAAGTCACGGTGCGTCAACTCTAACCAGCATTTTTATTGCATCTTTAATGGAGCTCCTATCGATTTCTACTGGTTCAACTCTAACCAGCATTTTTATTGCATCTTCAATGGAGCTCCTATCGATTTCTACTGGGTCAACGCTAACCAGCATTTTTATTGCATCTTCAATGGAGCTCCTATCGATGGTAGATGTAGAGAGAGAGGTCCAAATGGTAAAATATTGTGTTTCAGGGAATGATCCCATCATACACATATCAACAACTAGTTCTCAGCTCAGCTCTCTCTCAAATACCCACAAACACATCAACAAAAAGAATGCGAAGGAAATTTTGACACGCAGAAAGCATAAAACCAAATTTCTATTGTTGATAATCATCAAGTCAAGCATTATGGACTGCTACAAATTAAGAAGCAAGCAAAACACAAGATGTCTTTAACAATTTTTTGGATTGACATATGACATTGTCTTGATCAGTTTCTTCGAAAAAAGACCCCGTCTTGCTCAGCAGTAAATTTCTGAATTCATAGTAACCCATCCTTCTTGGACCTCTACGGTGTCTTTCTCAGCAATAGAATTCATAGCAACCCATCCTTCTTGGACCTCTACTCTAAGGCACTTGGAGAACCAACCTACGAAAATTCCGAGCAACAACCGATACTTTGTCATTCAAAATCAAGTAAGTTGCAATTGATAGTGCCTCTTTTTGGAACGAAGGAACTTTTTTGATGAAGAAGCTCAGAAAATCCACAACACACACAAAAAAAAAAAAATCACGAGATCCACAACCTACTCGTTATAACCCATTTTTTAGAATACACATTACAAATATCATGACTAGGTTTATAAAGAAAAATAGCCCAAAATACATGTCTTGCTCATGTACATTCATACTGAGAGAAGGTACATCTCTCTCTAAAATCTGTGGCTCTACCGAAGACGAAGGCACCTTGCTTGTTTGCCTTTCACAGATTACTAACTCATTGAAACTAAAGAAAGAAATCATAATATTAAGAGAAAGATAGAAAATACATTTGCCCTCGTTTTTAGAAAGAGAGAGATTTACCTTTTTTTTTGCCCCGGTTTTTAGAAAGAGAGAGATTAACCTTTTTTTTTTGCCCCGGTTTGTAGAGAGAGAAAGATATTTATCCTGTCTTGGTAGAGAGAGAACTCTAGCTGGCCATTTTTATGAGAGAAAACTGCTCGTGTAGAGAGAGAGAATTTTTTAATAGACTAGGACAAAGTTCTTGTGGGTCACCACCAGTTACTTGCTTGGAAGTAGGTTAACGGTTGAATCCTCGTATTTTTCTTGAGATTAGAATCAAGATCCGATGGTGATCCTTTGGGGTCTATGTCATTGGGTGTGGCATGAGAGAAAACTGCTCGTATAGAGAGAGAAAATTTTTTAATAGACAGGGACAAAGTTATTGTGGGTCACCATTTACTTGCTTGGAAGTAGGTTAACCGTTGAATCCCTTATCTTTTTTGGGACTAGAATTAAGATTTGATGGTGATCCTTTGGGGTCCCATGTTATTGGGTGTGACAAGGTCTAATAAGATCATTACTCATATATATATATATATATATAAAATAACAGAATAAAAATAGTATAAAGATAGCAGAGATTAAAGAAATATCTAAGACTCCAAAAAACGCAAACCTCTATCTCGGTTACTTGGTCTTTCCCTTATCCCCAACATTTCAAACTTAATGTTGATGGGGCTTTTTTCCAAAACCCGGGTATGGTAGGTGGTTGTGGGTCATCAGGATGGTGATAGTGTCTTTATTGTTTCTTGGTCGACCCCCTTTGGAATTGGATCAAACACATGCGGAGTTTTTTGTTTTGAAGGTGGGCGTTGATCTGACCATTAAACTTGACTGATTTCCACTCCAAATTGAAAGCGATTCATCATTGCTGGTAAATGCTATTCAAGGGCGTTGTAGAGCTCCATAGATACTCCACACAATAGCATCCAATTGTCAGCACAAATATTCAGATCATAGGTGGACCATTTATCACATCTATTGTGAAGCCAACATGATAGCAGTTGCACTTGCTAAGAAAGGAATCTCTCTTTCTGATGCTATAGTTTTAGTGTTCTAGACTGCTGCTGGATTATATTTCTATGCCTTTATTTTCATGATTTGACATAATTGCCCTACAATAAAGGCTGTTAAAATGTGATATGTATTTTTTCCATTTTTAGTTAATGAAAAATGGGAGGGACTTCTCCCCCCCACCGATTGAAAAAACCCATTATTTTTAGGATAAAAAAATAGTCCTATGTTGTTTCTGTTTTACCCTCAAATGTTTTTTCTTGTCCTTTGGCAATTTTTATTTCTATTTTGCCACATCTAAATGTCCAATTTCCAAACCGAAGTCCTGGAGTGGAAGAACAATTCAAACATTTGATCTCCATCCCTACTAGCCCTAGGCCTAGTAGGGATGGGCTGGGCCAGGGCTGGGTGGGAAGGGCTAAATGGGAAAATATGAAAAATTAATTCAATATGTAAAGAACAAAGGGCCAGCGTAGGACAAACCAGGCTGGCCGTGTCTTGGCCCTTGCCCAGGCCTGGGGCTAGAGTGGCCTCACCCTTGGACCACATTTTGTGGCATGGGCCCTAGTCTTTTATGGTCCGACCGACCAGGCCACGCCGGGCCCCCCAAACAATTACCACACCTAGAAAGGATAAATTACACGCGGACTGGTTATGTTTACCAAAATTACATTTTGTTCTCAAAATTTGGTAGTTTGACACAAAGGCTCCTTTTTTGTTTACTACAATTTTTATTTTTTATTTTTATGATATGTGGCATAGTCTGATGATCCAAAAATCGAACTGACTCATTTTTAGAATTATCGGATATTAGAAATATTGGATCATCCTATACTTAGAATATTTTTTTTAAATATACCAGTCATATATTTCCATCATACTGCATTTTGAAAATACATCACACTAAATGCGAACCTAGAATTGAGTACACCAAATAATTTATCGTAAAACATCCTTACATATAGTAAACAATTTTGGGATTTGTTCTCTAGAACCCGACGAACAACCTCGTAGGGAAAAAAAAAATTTAAATCTAACTCTCTATATGCCTAAGAAAATGGCATCCCAAAATTGAACCGAAACGATCCAATTTTTTGACGGAATAATCTAGATGTTTTTGAACTCAAAATTGAGATTTTTTTTTAAAAAATAATCATCTAATTATAATAAGATGGATCCTATAATTTTAATAAATAAAAAATCTTCCAAGTTTCTGTTTTGCCCGAGGGAGTACATGTACAATATGCTCCCAAGGCAGCATGGTATACACGCCAAAAAAAGAATGGTTTAAGCTTCTTGTTTCCGGATTGAACCCCGACTCGAGTAACACATCCCAACCATATATTTTTGGCATGAGATGGGTACAGAGGTGCTGGAAAATTGTACGAAATTCAGCTAATAGTATAGTTTACAAACTCTAAAAATCTAAAATAACGTTAAACCCAGCCCGATTGCACTTGAGAAGCATGACTTAAGTCGGTTCTGGGCTGGTCAACTTAATGGATAGTGTTTAGGTGTACTCAGGCCTTTGTAGGGAGTTCACCTTTGAAAATCTATTTCAGTGATCGATTGTCGATCACTGAACCCATGTATTTCATCTTCATCACAATCATGAAATGGAAACAAAAAAAAAAGAAAAAGAATCTTGAGCCTTGAAGTTCGTCTAACTTGTATTTTTATGAGCAAATCACTACAATTCTTCAAAGATCATCAGATCTGCATTGTTTTGAAGCTCCAAATTCATGAATCTGAAGCAGAAATGCATTTGCAACGATTTTAGGATGTAGTTTTGGTCCTCGGGGCCTTAAAACACTTGAGAAACTAAAGTATGCCCATGTACAGATCATTCCCCAAAACGTTTTCCCTACTTAATAATATGATTCTGGATATTTGAGAGAGAGAATAGGAAGGTATAGATTTGATTTCCATCTCTGGTTCAACTACAATTTCTCCATGTTGTGTTTGATACCCAATTGGGTTGGAGAGATTAAAAGGGAAGATAGTGAACATAAGAAGGAATGGATGGAAAGGACTGAGATTTGACACATGACAGGGCTATAGAGAGAGATTAATGGAAGAATGAGCTTTTGAGCTAGAGGATGAGAGAGAACAGAATAACCGCTAGAGAGATATTAATGGAAGAATGGCCATTTTTCCAACTGCACACTTAAGATATCCAAAAATGTTGCAAATCTTGTAGATCTATAAAATCTTGAAATGGACAACACAAATAATTTATTTAAACCCATGATTATGGATATTAAAGATATGAGACTTGTGATCTCTAAGAATATAGTCTTCAATAAAACAAAATGAAAAACCAAAATTCATGCAGCCAACCTCAATTAATTAAAAAGAAACAAAAATGATGATGATGATCATGGTGATTAAAATGGATTTGCAGAGTTTCAAGCCCCACAGACTGGTTTTGAGTTACAGCTACATGCAACCATAGCCATGCCAAAAACCTCCCCACAAAAGTACCTAGTTTACAATCATCCTTAGTCGTTAGATATGAAATCAAACTACCCTAGGGGTGTTACATTGACAAAGCTCAAAGTCTGCAGAAAATTTCTCAATGTTTGTCGCACCCGAAGTGGTCAAATTTCACGATAAACCTCAAAGTTAAAATTCACATAGCAAGGGGCGATTCTTATCCAAAAAGGTCATTGTTCAACAAAAAAAACAAATAAATAAATAAATAAATAACCCATCGCCAATTCAAACAACCATTTTCAAACAAGTATACAATGATAAACTATTTGGCACCTATCCCGAATTTTGTTGACGGCTGCCACAGATGAAGTAATCTTCTTTTAAAGCAAAGAGGATAGATGGCTAATTTCTTAAATATCCAAACTTCCAATTTCAAGTAAAAGAAAGGAGAGGTTAGAAATTTCTTGGAATTAGGATGACCCAATAAATCAAATGGCATGACATGCAAACAAATGTTGATCATTACCAGTACATTTTGACGATTCTCCCTTAGATATAATAAAACTCCTTCATTTAAATGAAGGTTCAAGTTTTATCGCATTATATATATTTATATTCCACAAAAAAGAAAAATACATGCAAAGAGTTTAAGAATCGTGTGCCAGAAGACTGCCATCAACTGAAACCACCTTCAACGGGCAAAGACTAAATTTAGGGGGGAGGGGCAATACAGGCTACAACAATCCTCTCCCCCTCACATGAATAAAAGAATTCTCTCTCTCTCTCTC